GGTGCGAATTTCTGTGTTTAAATGTCAGTCAGTGTTGAAGCAAGAAGGCCAACATTTGATGTCTGTTGACCCACCCCCTCTAGTAGAGTCCTGATGACAAGAATGAAGCAATGCCCTAAGTTTTGAGCTCTGAATGCGTTCAAGTCTGTCTGTCTTTCTCTCTCACAGGGGATGACGTGGTTACGGTGAACACACCAGCCTTTGCAGAGTCAGTCACAGAAGGAGATGTCAGGTGGGAGAAAGGTAAGCAGTTGCCTCTTCCCTGAAATTCTCAGCACCATTGGTACTGCACTGGGCAGCTCAGGGATGGATTGTAGTTCACTGGCTGACAGCCTGCTGTATTCTTTTCAGTCTGTGACAAATGAGGCAGTTAATTACAGTTCTCCTGAGGGGGTAAGGATTGCAGTTACTGCCTCAGCACCTCTCTGTCATGGGTGATGTTGGGTGAAAGATGATGTTTAAACTGGAATCAGACTCTGACTGTGCAGTAGATTGATTGTTTGAGCTAGACTTTTCTTTAGTAGTTGTGGAGAACTGGGGTAAGAAAATTCTGGGTGAGTGGGGGAGACTGCTGTGGGTTAGGAGGGGAGACTGGAGCACACCTCCCTCCTCACAGTGGTCTTCATATCTATCATTCAGCTGTTGGAGACACAGTGGCAGAAGATGAAGTGGTGTGTGAAATTGAAACAGACAAGGTAGGAGTTTTCTGGACCAAAACTTTTTTGAATTCTGTAGCGGGTACCTTGTATGGCTCCTCTCCCGCTGAGAGCTCCTAGAGCCTGCAGGCCCTGCCTGTGTCTCCTGCTCCCTTCATGGAGAAAAGCTTTTCTCATCTAGTATGAAAGCTGTCTGTGCCTTAAGTGAGAATTCTTTGATAACTCTTCCTTCCTCATACATTTGATTAAGCATCAATGGTGCTGATGTTTGTTGGAGCTGCAATTCTACTCCTTCCAATTTCTGTACTCTAAGCTTTGAAACCTGTTTGTGTTTAAACAGAGGAAAAATCTGCAGTGCCATGGGATGTCTTCAGATTGTTTTAAATTTAGCCTTTAAGTTTACTCACTGCTTAAAGGACTCTTAAGCTTTAAAGTTTTTGCTAAAACTCCCTGCCAAGTTCTGCTTCCCGTGCTGCTGTCAGGAAGATACTGGCAGCAGGTCAATTCTTGATTGTACCCTGGAGCAGGAAGACCAGGCTATATGTTACAGTGCCAGCATCTCCTAAGACTTCTAAGTATTGGCACAAAATCACAGTGGAGCGTGTGAAAACTGGTGCAAATGATGTGAGACAGAGACGCTGTCTGTGCCAAATTACAATGTGTATCTGCGCATGTTGGCATCTTCTCTTGGGCACCTGTTCTCCATCCAGTGTTTGAGGGAATTTCAATGATTTTCCTTTTTGCAGACATCAGTGCAAGTTCCAGCCCCAGCAGCTGGTGTGATTGAAGCTCTTCTGGTACCTGATGGTGGCAAAGTGGAAGGGGGGACACCTCTGTTCAAACTCAGGAAAACTGGAGGTAAGTCAGGTATCTGTAACTTGCACAGGCCTTCCTGTTTCCACCAGTCTTTTTCTGAAGATGGAAACAAGGCATTTAGAGGGATCCTGAGAGAGGTTAAATGTTTCCTCCATCTGCCTCTGTAGTTGGAAGAAAATACTCCTACTTTGTTGTCCATTAGAAAAGCATAATTTTAGTCCTTCTGATGGGGGTTCCTTTTGCCCCCTCTGGAAGAGAGTGCAGCTCTAAGCTAAAATTAGTTGAGAATTCCCCTGATGAAACTCCCTTCTCCACCCCCTTCTCTTTAGCATCCAGTCTCCTGCACAGTGAGGAGACCTAGACTGTCAATGAGTAAAACACTTTCACCATAGGATCCTCTCATGGTGGCTCCTATCAGTTCAGTAGTGCTGAGATCATAAAGGCACTCTGCCAGGGTGTTAACTCGTATCAGGTTGGTTGGAGATCCCTGGCAGTGGAAGCTGTGGTTGTCCTTACCATGGTTCTTCCTTGTCTTTCAGCTGCTCCTGCCAAGGCCAAACCAGCAGCAGCCCCTCCTCCTCCTGCAGCCCCTGAACCTGTAGCTGCGGCTGCTCCTCCCCCTGCTGCAGCACCAATTCCCACTACAATGCCACCAGTGCCACCTGTGTCAACTCAGCCCATCGACAGCAAACCAGGTGAGGCGACTGTCATTTTGTCCTCTTTTCCAGACTCTCTTCCTTGGGGAGAGTGTGTAAGGTTAAAGATGGCAAACAGTCTGGCATTTATGGTGAAGGCCTTCCCACATTATTGCCCTGCATGCTCCAGACTGGAGAGCTCAGCTGTGCCTGGTGCCTGCACAGCCCAATTCAAGGCTGCTTCCACGCTGTGTTGCTTGAGCAAGGAGCTCAAACAGGCTTTCTACCGCAAGGCGTTGCAATCAAGCCCTGGCTTCCCTTTTTGACTGATGTGTTCTTTACCCTCAGTGTCTGCGGTGAAGCCGGCTGCAGCCCCAGCAGCAGCCCCTCCTGGGGAGGCAGTGCCCAGCAAAGGTGCCAGATCAGAGCATAGGGTAAGCTGCGGGAATAGGGGCCTTGCCAGCACTGCTGTTGCTGGGTGGCAACTTGTTCTGGCATAAGTCTTGAGCTTTCCAGATGTGTCCGTATCTACCTGTTCACACACAGCTCAGTGGGGCTGTGACAGGTGGGAAAATGCTTTACATGAGGGCACCGCTTAGCGGTGGGGTGGAGGAAGAGACAGGTCCAATCTGACACAGGTCTTTTCTAGGCAAAAGTCTTGTCTTGAACTCTCCTGACTGAGCACAGAAGGCTCAGTGTGATCTGCTTGGTCTGTCCTCAAGCCCTTAGCAAAGGACTGAGGCTGCTGCACCTGCCTTGTGCATTCTTAAGAGAACGTGGTTGAGCAGCTTGCTTTCTTAGCAGTCTTGTTCTTTTCACATTAGCCTCATGCTTGAAACTGTGTGTTGAGCTGGGCAGCTCCATAGTGAATTCAACTCCTCAGCCTGCCATGCTTCTCAGGGAGACCTGGAGTGAAAACCTTGGCCCTAGGCATCTATTACTAGTCAACCGGATGGCAAGAAGGGCCTTTTGAGTTTCTTCTGTGTTTTGCCCCTTGGATGAACTTGAGGAAGCTTCTGCTTATGTCTTTTTAATTTTCAGGTGAAAATGAATAGGATGCGTCAGCGTATTGCTCAGCGGCTGAAAGAGGCTCAGAATACTTGTGCCATGCTGACCACTTTCAATGAGATCGATATGAGGTGAATAGCAGGCTTCTTTTTCCCTTTACAAGTAAAAATAGATGCAGGCAGTCATCTTTAAATAGCAGCCAAGACCTTGCTGATTCTCTTTGGAGAGATTGGCAACACATCTTTTGGGACCTCTGTCTTAGGCATGTGCCACCGTCTGCACAGCTTCACCAGAGCCATGTTGGTATTGTGGTGTGAGTGGTACATGGCTTCCTAATGGCCTGTCATTCCTCAGGAGTTGTCTGCTGCTTGTAAAAGGGGCAGCCTCGTTCCTCGTCTGTGTGGTTCTTGGTTAAGGACTGGTAGATGTTGAGCAGAAGAGCAGGAGTGACTTGTGTCACTTGTATAGTGGCTAGGAGACACCAAGATGGAGCATCTGCTTTCTGCCACCCCACCAGGTTACTGCTGTTGGAGGTGGGCATATTTAGTTTCCCATGAGGTGGTTCCCCAGGGCTCCTCAGCCTTTCAGGTGAGAAGTAGATAGGTCTGAGGCCCTTGCTGTCAGATGGTGCAGCTTACCAGAGACAGACTAGCATCCTTCCCCATCCCCTCCGGGCAGGTGGGGTCTCCTGACTCAAGTGGTTGCACAGACTGAGTGCACTAATGGCTTTGGAGGGTGGGCAGCTTATGTTACAGTGCATTAAGGGGAAATTGTGCCCAAATCAAATTGTCTTGTGAAATCCTATTCTGCTCCTTAAGACAAAACATGTAAATATTTGGGTCTCAGAACAGTAAGGTTGGCAAAATAGTCTTGATTGGAGGGGAAGTGCTGCAGCTTTATCTCCTCTCAGAGGCTCATTGAGGTGTCACTTTACGCTGGTCTTGGGCTCTCATTGCATCTGGTAATCTGGTTTGGATTGATTGCTGTGAGGTTGACTGTGAGGGCCTGTGCTGGGGCCTCCTGCTTCCCGCGGGGGGTCAGTGTCTGAAAGGAGGAAGCCATAATGAGGCAGTTTCACAGCAAACCTCGTCCTCATTGCTTCAGTCCTTGTGTCTTGGGAGGCACTAATGTCTTTGGGCCGTAATCCTAGCCCCAAACAAGGTTAGGCGCAGGAAAACAAACACTCTAAACCATGGAGACCCCTGCCCCTTTGTGAAACTGTCTCTTCAAAGACTCAAGGTCTCTGGAGGGGGGGAGGTATGGACCATGCAATTCCACAGCATCTGGTATTAGCCTGGAATAGGCAGAGCTTGTAGCCACAGCTTGTTGACTTGTTGTAAATGGCCTCAGTTCTGATAAATAGAAGCAGTGGGGAAACATGATTAGTCTGGCTGAAGGCTGTGGGTGGGCTGGCACTCACTACCATAGCACCTGGGAGATTTGTTTCATATTCACTGAACTTCCAAAGCGAAATACCTGGATACAGAGGCATCATCGTGCTGGTTGGCACTGGACTTGCACAGTGGTTGAAGTCTTTTGCCTCAATCACCACGTGCATCTTTTCTGCTCTTGGCATTTCCTGTTTTTTCACCCTTCCAAGATTGGCCCAGCCACACCTGGAGTTGCTGTCTGCGGTGCCACATTGATGCGGTATTCTCCAGAGAATCGGTGGCAACATCAGGCCTAAACAGGAAATATGCCGTGCCCCATCTTGCTTTTGTGCTTGGCTGCGTGGGCCAAGCAGATTAACCCTGTCTTGTTGAATTTGTGGTCCAGGACCAGTTCCTGTAGAGCCTTTGACGGTGTCCTTAGAGCCACCCTCAGCCCGTTTCACCTGTGGGATCTGAAGGATTTTGCTGCAGGCTGGGGATGTGCTAATTGGTGGTGCAGGTTTGCAGTCCTTGGCGCTGGCACTGAAATCTATTGTGGAGTGAGGGGAACAGTGTTTTCTTGGACTCCGTGCTGACCAGCGTTATCATGTGTTGTGCAGCAACATCCGGGAGATGAGAGCCGTACACAAGGATCCGTTCCTGAAAAAGCACAACCTGAAGCTAGGTTTCATGTCAGCTTTTGTGAAAGCTGCAGCTTTTGCTCTGCAAGACCAGCCCGTTGTGAATGCAGGTGAGTGGTGACCCTTGCTGGTGAGTTGTACATCTCACCAGTGAACGTGGCAGACTGGAGGAAAGCAGATGGCCAAGTCCATGGTGCGGCTAATAGCTTGGGCAAGCAAGTGAAATAGGCAGAAAAAGTGGGGACAGTCCTAAGTGCTGCAGCTGATGTTGCTACTGCCACTTATATAGGTAGAGGACAGCTTGCCAAAAGTGGCTCTATTAGGAAGGTGCTGCCTGGAGTGAGGCTGGGGCCGTGTGTAGACAGCCCACAGAGGGAAGAGCCTGCTGGTTGGTGTAGAGATAGCTGCTGTGGGTGCAATGCAGTTCCTGGGGAGGTGTCAGAAGTGCTTGATCAAACCCAGATGAGGAGAATAACCAAGGGGATGTCTGAGGGGGACTGACATACCTGGACTGTGTTTCCTTTCTGTCTATCCTGATGCTTCTTCCACAGATGCGGTGAGGGCTCATTCTTCTCTGGAGTTATGTTTAAGCTAGAGATGAGCAACTTGTTACAATTTTGTGGCTACTTCTGGCCTCTTGAGCCCTTGATCTTAGGTACTGCATGTGTAACTTTTTCTCTCCTTCTAGTGATTGATGACACGACCAAAGAGATTGTGTACAGGGACTACGTGGACATCAGTGTCGCTGTAGCAACTCCCCGGGTAGGTACCTTGGGTGCTTTGGCCATGGTTCCTGCAGCCTCGGGTCTGGGATGATCATATACTTTGAGCCAACTCAGCTTTGAGCTCCTCTGCAGTGGAAACTTACTGATGAGGCTGATCTTCTAAATGAGACATCTGATACATTGTGAACTGCTGAGATGGGTTTTGAGAGAAGATGGAGGACCAAAAATATTCCACCACTGTACTAGGAGATGTAGTAACAAGGTCAATATAGATCTCAGTGGTTAATGAGTAGGGGCAGGGTAGGGAAACCCTTTTTTTCATGGACCCATGAGGAGGATATGGCATAGACAGTAAAAACTTTGCATGTCCTGTCCTTAGGTTGTCCCACCATTTCTGTAAATTACATTGGTGCTTCAAAGAGATGTTCCTGACCAGAGAGAGTATAGGATGGAGATACACATGTTGAATTGGTTATGGTGTGAAGCAGAGGTTTGGCCAGGACTGAAGTTCTATCACTGCTCCCAAAGTCTAGGGGAGGTCCAGTGCAAAGGGACTCTGCTCTTCTCACCTAGAAAGAGGTGACAGCTGAACTCTGCCCAGTGCTTCACTGGCTTTTAAGGACATGGAGCTGGATCCAGACAGGCCTGGTTGATCTTACGAGATCGGCTAACCAAGGCAAAGAAGGTCTCTCATTTATGGTGTCAGCCCTTTGTGCATGTCGTGACAGGTTTCCCAGCAGGTTGCCAGGGTGTGAGGCAGCTCTGCCAGCCACCTGCTGTGGGCTGAGGAGGAGGCAGGAACTCTGCTGGGCTGAAGCCAGGCTCCTGCTCGATAAGAGTTATCTGTGTGTTGCTGCAGTGAATTTGCTGATCAAGCACTTTGCTTCTCCCTAGGGTCTTGTGGTCCCTGTCGTTAGGAATGTAGAAAACATGAACTTTGCTGACATAGAGCGTGCTATCTACGAATTAGGGGAAAAGGTAAGGAAAGTTGGAGGTTTTTCTGAAAAGGGTTAGGAGGAATGGGAAGAATTGGGGGTGCTGGACAGGCATGAATTGATTCAGTCCCTCTGTGTCATCATCTCTGACCTCTAACACAAAGACTTGTGCTTTGGAGGGTGATCCAGTTACAGCTGTAGCTGTGCCCATGCCTTACAGGACATGCCTGTCTACTTGTTGCCCTTCCAGAAGACTGCAAACTATGCATTAGTGACATGGTGTGTCTTCACCTTTGTCTTTAGAAGTCAAGGCTGAACTGCCCTGGGGTAGAAGTCCCTGTGTCTCCTGCAAAAGCTGGAGTTGGAAGGAAAGGCAAGAGAATCCTTCCCCAAAGCCAGTAAATGTTCAGATCTAAAGACAGGATGCATTTTCAAGTAATTCGTGCTGGTTTTCAGCTGAACAGATCAATAAGTGAAGCTCTTGCCATCATTTATTCCTGGAAAGGGTGAATGCCCAAACCCTTGTCCTTTGCCTTCTGTGATCTGTGTGGCTTTCTAAGACCTTACTTTTTCTTCTAGGCACGGAAAAATGAATTGGCCATTGAAGACATGGATGGTGGCACTTTCACAATCAGCAATGGAGGAGTTTTTGGGTCACTCTTTGGGACACCTATCATTAACCCACCCCAGTCTGCCATCTTAGGCATGCACGCCATCTTCGACAGGCCTGTGGCTGTGGGAGGCAAGGTAGGTGGAGCTGCGCGCAAGGTTTCAGCAAACAGAGGGGAGGGCTCAGTGGGATGAGGACCATAGCCCATATACTTTTTCTAGGGAGTTGGTGTTAACTTCTAAAAGGCTTTACTGTGAAGGAGGGATAGAGACTAATGGGTGTAGGGCAGGTTTGCAGGCATTGGTACTTGCCTGAGGTGTGCAGGGGGCTTTGTCTTATCAGTGAGGGGGAGAACCGTGTAATCTGCTTATGTGGGGAGGGCGAAGGAGGTGGCTGTAGCCTTTGTGATAGAGAACTGCTCCAGAAAGGGACCTAGCCTGGGTGGTGGTCAGTGCCTGGGTGATCCTACCAGGCAGGACACATCCAGGAGAGCCTGAGCCCTGGATTCAGGACAGGAAAAGCCAGGTCTTCCCTGAATTCACAGGAGGGCATCATGCAGGCAGTAGAGCTGAGATCATTAATGCTTGTCTTACTCCTCTCCTTCAGATCGAGGTGCGGCCCATGATGTACGTGGCACTGACGTATGATCACCGGCTGATTGATGGCAGAGAGGCAGTGACTTTCCTGCGCAAGATCAAGGCAGCGGTGGAGGATCCCCGCGTGCTGCTGCTCGACCTGTAGAGCAGTCACACCCCCACACAACCCACCCAGGGCAGGGCCGCAGCACCAGCAGGGGCGATGCAGGGCATTCAGGAACTGGCAGGGGTCATTCCAGTCTCCCTCCCTCCGCTGTGATCGGAGCTGTCCCAGGGAATTGTGGGGATAGCTCCTACCTCCTTTCCTGTTCTGTTTCATGAAGGTTCAGTTTCTCATGAGGATTGCTATACAGTGGGCCAACCACTGACTGGCACTGCCTTTCCAGAGCCATCTGTATGGCATCCTCTCCCTCACAGCACCAAACTCTCACCTCTAGCTTATCCTATACCAGTGGAAACTGCTTGCTGCTGCTGTGCTAGGGTACCCTTCCCTGCTGCTCCAAGGTGGGTTCAGCTTTATTTCCTAGCACCGGGGTTCCTGGGAGGGAGAGGAGAGGAAAGGCTACTGTTCTGTCCCTGTTTTGCTCGAAAATATTTCACACTTATCTGACTTGCAAGGGCAGTCTGGAGACCCCCAGACGGCTTGCAGCAGAGGTTTTGATCAGAGCAGGGCTTGAGGGAGGTGTCATGCCTCTGGCAGTGCCCTAGTTACACTCCCTCCACAGACAGGAACGCAGCGATGGCAGCTCCCCTGCTTTCCCTTGGAGATCGTTTGTCTCTCTCTTTAGCCTGGTCACTGTGGTGTGAACATTCATGTCTGGGTGGGCAGAGCCCGTGATCTCTGTGGAGGTAGCACTGTTCCTGGGGGACAACCCTTTCACCATTACATGCCCGACACGGGGGTAAGAACCAGCCCCCAGCAGCTGTCCTTGAATCACAGCTCACTGATGGTGGATCCGACTGCTGGCTTCCTGCGTGCGAGGGCTTGGCCTGCTACCAGCAACGAGACAGCTGGGCAGGGCCAGCTCTTTAAGTGTAATGTATATCCCAGCTCAAGGCTGCTGGTTTTGGGGGGGAGGGGGGCAGTCCTTAATCCGATAGCGCACACATGTATTGGGGAGTGAGGGGGTTGCTAGTGCCTGCAGAGTCTATTACTCTTACCCTCTACACAGAACTTGTAACTAAAATATTTAACACAGCGGATTTTAAATGAAATAAAACTGGGCAACAACTGCAAGGTGGGATGTGTTTGAGAGGGCAAGCAAGCAGCTCCTGGGCAAGGACTCAGGCAGCAGCAGTGTCCCTAGTGTAGCATAAGCACTCTCTGATGGTGAGAGAAAAGAGGGAACGGGAGCTGGGCCCCTTCTGGTGGTACTAAATTGAGGCTTCCCTGGCTCTGAATTCTACTGTCCTCAAACCCTGTGGCACAGAATTGGCTCTTCCCAGCAAAGATGGGGTTTTGGGGGCTGGAAATCATCCTTTTTGTGGTCTAGCAATAGAACTGTTACAGACATCAGGGAAATCCCAGTATTTGCTAAATGGCATAATGGCCAAGAGGGAGAACTGGGAAAGACTAAAGTACAGGAGCAGAGCTGGTTTTGGTTTTCCCTGATAACAATAGGAGTGTTGTAAATCATGAAAGTGGGGAAAAAGGCTTGTTGAGGGTTGCCGAGAGAGAAAGGAGGCAAAATCAAAGAACAACTGTAAAGCAAAAGCTCTCTGTGGTGCCGAGAGCATTTCCCCAAGGAGCTGTCCCTGTTGGAACAATATGAAATACGTTCCTGCATCATGGCGGGGTTATTCCAGCTCCAGCAACTTCAGAGAATGGTTTGCCCTTCTCAACTACGAGCAAAGGCGGCAGCCCCTTGTAACAGAAAACAGTTGCACTCACCACTGGCATGCTGACGAAAAGGAGAGCAGATCCTAGTACTGGTTCCTGTGGCTTCCTGGCAGCAACAGACAAACCTGCGCGTGGACTCAGCTTTCCTGTGACTGTCCCTGGATGAGGTAGAAGGTTAGGAGAAGAGAGAGAGAAAACCCTTCCCTCTGCTGTAAAGGAAGGGCGAAGAGTCTAACTGCTCTTGCACAAATAAATTGAATGAAAGAGAAGGTTCTGATTAAAAAATGCTGCTAGCACCCAGTCCCCTGTGCTGGTTTAGGATACAGAGGGCCCACCTTGACTTTGTACCTGAGCCTGGGGAAGGGCAGTGCCTGTATTCTGTCTGGAGCTGCAATAAATGAGGCCTTTGAACTACCCAGGGGGTGAATGTACAGTCAAGCTCTTAAAATGAATGCAGCCTAGCAAACTGCTTTAGTTAATCGGCCCTGTTGGGGCTTGCTGTAGGAGGGTCCTGCAGCTGCTGTGCTTGGAGCTTCCTTTTTTGACCCTCCTGGGTGATGCCCAGGGCACTTTGTTGCAAGAAGCTATGCTGTGGCTTCGGCTGCAGGCCTAAGAGTCAGTCCT